CGGGCAGTGAGTACCTTTTGAACTAACAAATCACTATGGCCAGCCAGAAGCTTTCTGAGACAAGCGGTCGAGAGACGGCATCATAGACGGATGGAATATTACCACGGCGCTAGCGACTACATGCACGTGGGACAGGGACCCAGAGATCAAGCTGCGCCGAACCCGGCTGTCACATCCAACCAGACGAGACCCCTGGCCATGGATCCGGCGCGACAAACACACACACTCAGGCACCGTGGGACGGCACACGCCTCGGTAAAATGCTGGTTCATCGCAGAAGCAACGACACTATACAGTAAGCTAAACGCATATTGATTAATTCGCCGTTAAACAGTTTTGCTGGCTGACCACAGGGCTGGACAGTTCCTCATAAAATGACTACTTATTCCCATAATATTCATGACTTTATTCTTGCAATATTAGGACTCTTTATTCTCGTAATGTACGACTTTATTCTCGTAATGTTACAACTTTATTCTCGCAATATAAAGACTGTTATTCCGTAATATTACGGACTTTATTCTGGTAATTACCGACTTTTATTCTCGTAATTTACAACTTTACTTTCGTATGTTACACTTTATCTCGCAATAGTTAAGACTTTATTCTCGCAATATTAAGACTTTAATTCTCGTCTCATAATATTACGACTTTATTCTCATAATATTACGACTTTATTCTCATAATATTACGACTTTATTCTCGTAATTTCCCCCCAAAAAATAATATAGTTTTTCTCTTAGTATGGCCCTAATACTCGTCGTAGAAAGGAAGGACATTTGATTGGCTTTAAAAAAAAAGAACAATTGAATTCTTACTCTACTGTAGTTCCAGGGACATGAAGTTATTGTCCTCAGTAGTCGACTGAGGACAATACCTGCCAACCTAACAGATGGCTATTTTAATACTCAACAGTAACACATTTGGGAAAACAAAAATGGCCAGGTGAACTAAAAGAGCAACTTATTCTGGCTATACTTTTTCTGGTGCAGTTTTTTAGTGTGCATCACACTTGATATCAAATTAAGAAGGGAAAAAAAATTAGTTTAGACGTGGTTTGCCAAGGACCACAGAAAATGCCCTATTCAAAACACATTAGGATCTCTTTTCTATTAAAAGCCCTACATTCCCTCACCCACTTACACATGGATATTACTTTTGCAGAATCACAGACGTATGAGAAAAAAGGCTCATAGATTTTTCTGTTACATAGGGTCATGGCTGCAATTCACTAAATTCACTTTTTACAACATGTACGCCAAATCTGTTATTGACTGTTAAGGAGAATTTTTTGTTGATCAAAACCCGACACATGATATTCAGTGAAGTTGACATGAACCCGAAAATTAAAAAACTTGATTTTTAATTTAGGAAACTGATTCATTATGAGGAGACTGACAGACATTAACAGTGCTATGAAGACACTGTAGCACCTTGATTTAACACTGTGCACCATGTTGGTGGTGGTGTCCTATAAGTGGTGCAGTACACTGATTTTGCACACAGTTTTGGATACAGGATGCCAGAAAAAATTTTCACCACAAAACCATATTAGTGCTGTCTTGTTCTGTCAGAATAGCGTAAATTCACAGTGGCTCCTTTAGGACAAGGAGCACAAAACACTAACATTCTGAGCAATGCTCCATCAGTCAATCAGAAAAGCATATAATCTATGTTTTTGAGTTTGGAACAACATAAATGACAGCTAGAGAGGTAGTTATACTGACTTGTGACTAGGTCTCAGAGGTAGCTGGCATAAGCCAATTGAAAGAAAACTCTCCCAAAATGTAATGCACTCAAGAAAAGTGCCAGAATAACTATCACTAAACTATTTTGCGATACAGTACCTTTTTAATAACAGTCGTAGTAATAATTAATTGTGGCTTCAGTAGTCTGTGTTTACAAGTTTGATAGTGCTTGCACTGGAAGAGGAAGTGTCTGGAATACCAATTTATATGTCATTGTCTGCATGTCAAACAAATAAAAAAACAAATCCATCTAGCTTACCATCAAACTTTTTATGCCTCGAGACAAATGTCGTCCTCATATTGTGGCTGTTCTCCTCAACCAAGTTCTCGAACTCCAGTTTGCTCTGCTGGTTGAGTTTGTCCTCCATCTCGGATGTGCAGCACGTGTATCCCTGAGGACAGACACGCAGGTGCTCACCTAAGGGAGACAGAGACATAGATGCCATTTTTTACACACATCACTGCCACAGGATTCGGTTTTTCAAAAGGCTGAGCTGTCTTTGATCAGAACTCTCCTGTGATTTTGGGACTCTCATCACTGAAGCTATCAAAGAGGGACAGACCGTAACAAATAGGGAAGGATAATATTTGTCGGTAACCTGCTATCTTGTGAAACAGACAGCAACTTTGATACAGCAGTGTATATACCTCCTGCAGGATTTTCTTTATATCACAGCCCAAAGCACAGCAATAACAGAAACTGAGCTTATGTACGTCAGTATTATGTACATAAAATTGATGGCAGTGCGTTCAGTAACTGTCTTTCAGTTTCTAGAAAGTCATAAGACTATACCAAATAGTAGACAGCAAACATTGTCATTAAACCAGCATGAACAGTTTTTTTGGTCACCTGGGGCGAGCACAGCAAGCTGTAAACAAAACATTGATATATTATGACCGTATAAGAAAATGTGTTGGCGTTATCTACACAACCACCAGATACCAAGCAAAATCAGCATCAATTTTGAGTTGTGATTCTAGCCACCCAAGTTTAATTTTCACTCTCCTTTTAGCTTTGTTTTGGTCTCCACCAACTCCTGAAGGAAATATCCCTTAATCACTAATCACTAACTGTGTCTGTCTGGTCTGCTCTTTGGTTCATAACAGGTGGGTTTATAAGTGGGTTTATAAGAGCTGTTTGTCAAAAACAACTAACTGCTGCGGCTGAAAACAATGCAGGTGAGAGTGGTCAGTAAAGCTACAAGCCAGAATACCAAAAACAATAAGATCCTAAAATGCTACTCAGTAGCTGTCTGGTTCCAGCAAGTTTTTTCACATTACACACTCATTTGATACATTGGTAACTGAATATGTACTTCAGTGCACTGTTGCTTGTATAATAACAATCTTAGTTTTAAGATTTTAATTTTTTCTTACTAATATCTGGCATTAAGTTTTAATTTTATTTGTTGAGGTTGTGAGATACTCAACACTGAGACTTCAGCTGCCAGGCCACAATTAAACAAACTCAACATAATTTTTTTTGTGTGGAAAATGTCCCAGTTACTCGGGATAATCCAGAGACCTCACCGTGCCCATTTCAATAGAAAGATATTTCCCAGTGAAAAGTGCCATTTTGAGCTCTGTAGATTATCTCCACTTACCAGGACATAGTTTCTGAAAAATACAGCCACTGATGATTTCTAAAATGTAATTTATTCTATGCTTTCCACACTGCAAACAAAATTCCATCTATTATACTTGGTTAGCAGCAGAATGACTGGTGGCGGAAATTTTAAAACCTCACTATATAAAACCAATATTATCTGCATGATCAGGTACAATTAGGAGTGGTGAAGTAATCTCTATTAAGATAAACAGTCCCTTTACGAAATGCCATGTGTGTTATCTTGACAAAGTGATGTTTTGCAAAGCCTTTGGCTCTTTGTACATGATGTAGTGCTGAAAGCTTCTGATTAAAAAAATATACTGTGAAATGTTCCTAGTCTATAAATCTAATTTGTGTCCAGGGACAAGATTTATCAAGGTAAGCTAGGTGTTTCAAAATCCTTTTGAATGTCTTTGAGATGTCTCTACAAGTTAAGTGATTGCACTTTCCACTCAACTGGACTTAAAATAAAGAGTTAGTCCTATAAGTCCACAACAAATTGTGTATATCAGATTTTCAACTTCAGCAAATAACTATGTGTGATTCAGAAACAGAACTGCTGAATCTGGGGGAGAGTATTACATAATTTGTCAAATTTTGAGAGTTCAGTAGAGAACTGAAGCTGAGAAAATGTGGAAGTGTGTGAGTTCAATCAGACTATTTATGTTTCTCTTTCATTCATTCATTCATTCATTCATTCTCTGTTGCTCTCTCACACCTTCTGCTTTCCCATATCAACTAATTAGAGGTGTTGCTAACCAACCAGATCCTGCCATGATTTCAGTCAATCATATATGTGCCTGCAAACTTTAAATGGTCTCCTCTATATTGCTGTCGGATGTAATTTCAGTGCACGACCCACCTCCACCCCATTCACCTCCAGTTTCAGCAGGTCTGAGCTCACCAGATGCCTTCTTCTCTTCTCATCACCCAGATCTCAGCATCCTTTTCATTCAGTACAACACCAGTGTCTAGACTCCTTCAGGGGGTATGCTACTCCACTCGCAGCTTCCCTATCTCCTTAAAATATGATGATGTCAAAATGGGAAGACTTTCACGTTGTGTACATCTCAATAAATATAATTGTTCACTCAAATGAAGCCCTGCCTGATTGAGCTATACTAAACATCAATCAGTAAATTTCCCCACACTTCTGAAAACCCTTTCATTAAAAAAGTAGGGGTTACTCTTATATCGGTGAATTATCCTCTGTGTGTAGAGTGTAAGTGTGTAAAAAGGGTATAAATTGCATTAAAGAGTGAGGAAAAAATATCCTGAAGTCTGATGAAAAATTCAGCTCTGAAGGCATAATGCACAGCACTATCTGACAGAAAGGAGGCTTAACCCATCATGCATTTAACACAATCTCGATCTCAGAGCATGGTGATGGTAGCATCACCAGGCAGGTGTGATTTTTGGTATCAGGGACTGAGAGACATGTGAGATTAGAGAGAATGATGATTTGAGCCAGATACAGACAGATTCCCGAAACAGATATGGTGAGAGCGCTGAGGACCTTTCTTTGACACAAAAACATCCAAACAACAACGGTTTTAGAATGAGAGCGAAAAAGTTCATGAGTGACCAAACCTGTGTAAAGACTTACATCAAACAGAGAATCTAATTTGTGCAGTGACTTGTGCTGAGCAACCTCACAGGGACAATAAACCCTGAACCAATAGAAACTGGGTTCATTAATCCATAAAACATATAGATGGAGTGTCTGGAGTGACTCCAAAAAATAACATTTATCATAAGAGAAAATGCAAGCTAAAATACCAACTCTGCCTGACAGGGTGCGTGTGTATGCCTGTTCAGAGGTTCTGTTCATCCCTCTCGGGGGTGAGAAAACAGAGACACGTTCCTGTGATACAAGGGGCACTGACATGTATGAAAACTGTAATTTCTTGAGTTTCTTGAGTCTGCCCTTTGTGCCTAACGCTGAAAGGAAACAGTTACAAGAACTCTGCTCCAGTTTGGCTGATCAATGTCTGTATTTCTAACAAAAGTTAATAGAGTAAGAACTGTGACAAACTCTTCATCAGACCCAAGTGAGGATGCTATCGCCTACCCTGCCGCCTGCTGGGAGAGACAGCTAACTTAAGCTGAGTGGCCACGGGGGATGCTCAAGAGCTCATGGGAGCTCCACCTGAGAGAAACAGACATATCAGCTGACCAAGCTGCAACGTGGGACTGAGTGCATCCCAGAATGCCCAAGAGCGTTCCACATGAGAAACGGCACTGCTTCTTCTCCCCCTTCCAGAGAAACTCCCTTGGCCATCTGAACCACAGGTGAAACTTTTCCTGTGATATAGGGATTAATTATAGATTACCGAGAGTAATTATGAAGTCTTAGGCCGTAAGTAGGATCTCCCAGTTAAATAGTAATGATATTGAATTACTTCAGGTATTTTCGCTGGTGCTTCCCAATCTTGCATCTGCTGAAAGGTGCACAGAATCAATTTTACTGGTTAATGCTAAAGTTTTCATCCACTTAGTGGTCGCTTGTGTTTCCACAAATTAATAAATCTTACCATTGTCTCAGCTTGCACGCTCACTCTACCAGGTGAGCACCCTAGAAATAGTGTCAATTAATAAATTGGCTATTGTTTTCCCTTCTTTAAGGGTAGTGCTGAGAGGTGAATTTAATGCATGTCCAATTATATTGCTTAATAGATAGACATCATAGATATTTATAAATATTCATTATTTCTTATAGCCAGAAGTTGAGTGCACTCTACTTACAGCTTTTGTACCGATTAATGTGTTAACGTTATATAAGGGTTTTAAAGGATTTAAGGCGCTGACAGTGAGAAGAGGAAATCTGTGAACAATAAACAACAAAGAAACAAAAAAAAGATTGAGGTTGTGGTTGCTGTGTAAACATTAAAAGCACACTAGTCATAAGGTGTCCTTTCAAATGTTTGTCTTTCTGGGCAGCAAAATCTGTGGAACCGGCAAAGATTTTGCTCAAGAAGTCAGCAGCTGTGCAAATTCTTATACCACTCTTTGACTTGTTACTGATACGTACAAATATAGCAAATTCAGTGGTGCCACATTTTCTACATCCTTGCTTTATTATCTCTCCTTTGCAGCTCTACGTCTGAGAGCATCAGACATCATTATCAGAGGTTCAGAAAAAAAAAAAGTCTGGCCAGCAGTCACATGAAAGATTTGAATTTTGAGGGTTTTTTCCAGTGTTACCTATTACCATTTGAGAAAGAGAAAGATGAAATGGCTGTCGCTGTACCAGTGGCAGATTGGTGCAGAATAGACTCAGATTGCGAGACTTTTTTGATGGATCCTACTATACAATGCAGGCACACTGGTGTTCTGCATGCATATACAGTAAGCTATAGATGGAGGAGCTGTGCATGGATAATGAAACAAGGAGGATGCAGTTTGTACGTGCTGGCACTCTCAAATGTGCTTAATCCTTAATCAGTCCTTAGAGAGGCACCAGGCTACAGTAATGAGGTGCACCATCAACAGTTCAACAGAAACCCATTGTCTCCAGAGTAATGCACAAGCCTCCTGGCCAGAGAGACCAAACTCTCTAAAACAACAAAATAAGCTGAAATGCAACAGTCAATTTTGATTTGTTGATTCTTTAAGACTATTTTGTTTCTCTACTGAACGACAAGGTTGTAATCTTTTAGCAGTGCAACGGTATTCCTCAACTGTCGTTTCCAACATATAACATAACATAACAACATAAATATATGTTGTTTATCTGTTCAATGTTCATCGCATGGTTTGTGTTTTATCAGTTTTGCCTACATATGAACTCTTAATCACTGAAACACAGT